AGCTGAATCTGGTTCATCTGAATTCGATCCCAATTCAGAAGTGACAATCGATAGATTTGATAAGGTCGGTGGTAATTGATGAGACAGGTAGACTGAATCTTCATTATTACTGTTACCCTCCTCATTGGTGATCATTTGATGAGTGTTCAGTAAAGTATTATTATGCCTAGATGAGATGTCATCAATTGTATTTGAAACGATATCATCAGTCAGACTATGCTCAAGTGTAGTATGATGAGTAGTTTGAGTTTCGACACCTAATGAAGAGGATACATTGGTACCACCACCTCCGGAAGCAGCAGCAGCAGTCACCAGAGGATCTGTTCCAGATGTTCTTGACTGTCCATTGAAATTTGAATGAGCAACTAAATGCGGTGGCAGCGGGTCGATTACAGCTTGTTCTAATCCACTTGTTAAATCACTCACCGACTTACTCTTCACACACTGAAAATCAACATGTCTCGATTTATTCTCCTCTTCTTCCCATGACATACGTAGAAATGGACACTGGACATAATTGTAAATAGCTTCAGGTCGACCACCAGGACGAAATTTCACCCGATCTTTACACGTTGGATAACCTTCAATACCGATACGAATTTTTTTCAAACTACGCTCCAATAGGACTTGTTTAGCCACTTCACGATTCTCGATATACTTTAAAAATCGAAACATTTGTGTACTATAGATAATATGCGAGTTTAATTCATTCTCTGGCATTTGTGGAGGATATTCAGGATCCCAGTCGATAATTTCATCATCTGTTACAATGACAATATGACATTCACGTTCACCTAGTTGTGTGCATTTAATCAATAAATTGAGAATATGTGTTTCAAGAAATTGTCCAAATATAATATGTGCACCATCATTAGATAATTCATGTAGAAATGCACGTAGATTTTCACAATGTACAGTTTGTTGATTAAATGGTATTAGAAAGTAATCACAGGCTTCTTTTAACTCTTGTACTGATACACCTGGTGGACATGTCATCCGACCAATTAAATAATAGTCGAGTAGTGTACGAAATACTTGAGCGGAGATATTTGAATCTTGAGCAATTGATATATCAGGTGGATGATGCATTTGATAAGGAGTATTATAACTCTGATGGTTATGATGATGAGGATGATGGTGCTGCTGCTGATGATGGTAACGATGAACTGTTGACGATGAAGATGAGGAATGATTTGTATTACACATTCCACCTGATGTTGTCACAGCAGCAGAAGTTGTATTTGTAGTTGGCTGAGATTTTCGATCACTTGGTGGACTACTTTCAATTGATGTTGACTGACAATAACTACTGGAGCCACCCCCACAGACAGGACCTGGTGGATAATCATATAAATATTTTGTCTCTAAAAATTGTGAATTAAACATACGACCAAGCATTGTATTCGGATGGGCTTGTAGTAAATCCAAATCGATTAAAAAGCGTACACCGTCTACAAGAAGGCTAACACGTCGACGATTTGATGGTCCATTGGATGACTGTCTTGTACTACTAGAAATGAAATGCAGAAAATAGAAATAACAAGAAATTAAGTAATGATTACGGTTATAGAAGTATTGGACAGATGTTCCGTCAGCCTAGTTTGGGACATCCACTGTGGGGGGGAGGGGTTCGAACCAAAGAGATCCCAGTTATAAGAGAAGCTCAACAACCATTGGGATCCGATCTAATGCCTTATGAATTCTAACTTTTACTAATTTGTGATTTTAGCGTAACTTCGCCGCCAGTGACAAAATGTTATCGGTGAGTAATTTGTTCTCACACTCGACCTGGTGGACCCCATGGGTCACGATGACTAACGAGTATCAGATTAATTTTTAAGAGTTGGTTGACAGGAAAAAGATTTGAATGCGGACAATAAATTCACGATATCTTTTGAAATTATCTTCCATATTCAGCTAATTTACCACTGATGTAAACAGTAGACTTTATATGCGAAGCACTTATTACACGACGCATCGGTGTTGATATTCCAGTCTTCTGAACACCTTGAGCTGCAATCTACGAATGTTTAGCATGCGATTCGCTCCCGCCAAATGTAAGATGATGTTACAGGACTGGACTACACTGACTCCTAGCTTAGAAATAGGGAGTGAAGTAGTAGAGCGTGTTGACCACTTCACTTATTTGGGAAGCTCCATCAGCCCCAGCGGGTTGATCTCTGATGAAATCTCAGCACGGAAACAGAAAGATAGTTTCGCATATGCCAGTTTATGCCGTCTCTGGCTTAGCAGACGTGATATCCGGCTATCGACCAAAGGGCCGGTGAACTGTTCAGCCCTCCGCTCCGTCCCCCTTTATGGCGGTGAGACTTGGCCATTGAGAGTGGAAGACATGAAAATACTAGCTGTTTTTTATCATAGGTGCTTGTGTTCTATCTCCCGTGTGAAATGGTATAATAGGGTGAGCAGTATTGAGGTTAGATGTCTAGTGCTAAGAAAGGAGGGGAAATCAATCGACGAGGTTGTGAAGCTACATCGACTGAGATGGTTAGGACATGTGTTACGCATCCCTGACTAGCCATCGCCTTCCTCGACGGGGAATGTTAGCTGACATAGGATGGGTCAGGCTGGAAAAGAGCCAGTGGTGGTCAAACCAAAACATGGCCACATCAGTCAATGAAATCCACAACAGCTAGTTTAAGCCACGTAGGAAAGTGTAAACTGGCCTCCTGGTTGGGGTCGTTGGGATGGTAAACACCAATGGCTGGAGACAATCGGTGATATGGCTCAAAATCGTTCTCAATGGCTAGCGCAGATGCATCCACTCCTTGTGACTTATAATTTCCAATAAAACTGTATTGTTCTTCGATATTACTATTCTTTTTGCCTCATATCTCTGTTTACTGTCTCTATTTTGCATTTTTTCTACTTCGTTCTCTTGCTTTGTGTGCTATATGGAGAGTGGCGACTTGAATTGCTGCACATCGGTGCATAGTTTTACCTTGAAACCAAACAGACAGATATTCCAGTATCTTCTGTGGAGGAACTTCTTTTGACATACATACTGAATGCCTATTTCTCTTATTGAACAAGAAATTCTACAAACAAGTTGATGGTGTGACTGCCTTATGTGGGGTCACCACAAGGTTCAACTGTCAACATTAAAGAAAGGACCTTCGAAAGGTGAGAATGGTGAAGTACAATCATATTGTCGCTACATGGATGAAACAGTTTTGATTAGGATAAATGAGAATGAAGCAAACATCATTGGGATAAATGTTATTACAGAGAAAGAAAGAAATGACAATAATTCCATCCCTAAACATTCAGATGACTAAGAAAGGGGACTATAACATAAAGATATATATATATTCCTTTTTAGTATTGCGAACATGTGGTGGTACTATCACTACCAATAGTAGAATACTCACCAATCACTCAAGTGGTCCGGTCGGTGGCCGACGCACTCCTAAACCCCGCTTAGCCGACAGTAGTCTCAACAAAGAGGGAATGAATAAGATGATAGGCAGCTGTATATCACGTGCATGTCACCGATGTGACATGAGTTGACAAATCCCACATGAGTCTATTGTATCCATCATGGAATTTAGTCAGTCATCAATCAGTCCTTTTGGGATCGATCAAATCTCCCAGATAAGTGAAGCGGTCGGTCAACACGCTCAACCAATTCACTTCATTCCCTATCCTTTAAACTAGGCGTCAGTGCAGTAGATCAATTCTGCATTATTATTTATTATATCATCATCTTATATTTGACACAGGTGAATCACTTGCCAAACATTTGAAAAGATTTCTACTCAATGGTGTTCGGATAACTCTGCATTTTTATCAGTATATTCACCTACTTGAACCAAACCATCTGCACAGTCTAAGTCGACAAGACTATTCCCCGGGTAAAAAGTCAATGCCTAAGTTGATGAAGTTGTATAACGTACAGGCCAACTATGAGAACAAAACTTCAAAGTGAAAGAAAGGCACGCGGGGTGACTCTTTAAGATAATCAAACTGCTTCGATTTAAGTCTCAAAGGTACAGTATCTTGCACAATCTTCATGAAACAACACAATCAAATAAGAAAGCGTATATCTGACAAAAAAAGTACATATAAGTATTTTTACGAGTTGATCACGGATTGATATCAGTTAGAGAACCATTGAAAACCAGGGAGTACTGGACAGCCAGCTGTTTCATCAGCCTAGTTTGAGAATCATCGGTAGTACACACCCACCACCGTGGGGTTAGAACCCAGGACCTTCCAGTTACAAGGCAAGCTAGCTCGTATACCATTCACCCACTGGCCAGCCCATGAATTCTAACTTCTACCAATTCGTGATGCATTTAGCACGACCCCAACAAATGTCGTCGGTGGGACATCCATCCTCACACTTGACTGGATGGGTTCGAACCCCAGCGAGTGCGTACTGCCGATGATTCCCAAACTAGGCTGATGAAACAGCTGGTTTTCAATGCTCCCTCTAACTCATTGATATCAATCTGCGTTCGTGGTCAAACTCGTAAAATAAACAAAACTAATCCTTACAAACCAACTACCATAGAAAGCATATGAGCATACTTACTTGATAGGTGATGCCAAGTTCACTTCACAGAATGGTAATGATGATAACGAGTAGCGTCGTTGTTGTTCAGTATTTGTTGACTGGAATAAACCTCCTCCATTTTGTTGACTTCCACCAGTATGATAATGACTGTCAACTGTTTGCTGGTGATGATGATGCTGCTGATGACAACCACCACCCCGCCGACAACACTGTTATGCATAGGACGTGGATAGAATAATTTCGATTGACAAGAGGATGCTGCTGCTGGTCCTCCTGATGGAAGAGGTTGTGATGGTGGTGGAGCAGGAGTAGACGGAGGCGGAGGAGACGACGACGACAAGGTGAAATCGAAACCAGTATCATCATAGTATTCTCCTCGAGCAGAATTAATTAAACTACAACCACTACAACCACCACTGATACTGCTGCCACTGCAACCACCACCAGTTACACTACTAGTATTATTATTATGTCCATAGTAATGATCTGATTGATAATTTAATCTAACTGAACTTGAACACGACTCAGGTGGAGAATCACAATAAACATTATTATTACCATTATTATTGTTATTTGTTAATGAATGTACACGATTTGTATGATGTGACAAATGGTTAGATTTATGCATTTGATCAGAGATAGATGAACCTCCTCCTGTTGTTGTTGTTATTCCAGAGGATGATGATGTTTGATGATAAGCACTGATAGCCGATGAACGTCGACCAGACGACTGTGTACATGATGATGGTGTAGTGAAATTGTGGCAGTTATTCTCATGATGATTAGGATAAGCAGTAAATATACATGGAATGTTAGATACATTTGATCGTGTACTCTGTGATCCATTGGAAGTGTGTCGATTAGAATGAACTGGTCTCACTGAAGTTGTGGTATTGGTTGTAGTAGTAGTACCACTAGTAGATGACGCAATCAGATTATCAGATAGAAGACAATTCATCATCATCACATGACTATCACTCAGAATACTGATTCTTCTTTGTCCTTCATCACCTTCTTCTTCTTGACCTTCTGTCTCCTCATTATCATTATTATCACTATTCATAGGTAACGATGACGGTGTCACCACCTCTGACAAAGTATTATTATTATTGATTAAATCACCCGGTGGGATATCAATTAATGAATACCTACACTTAAAATCTGCTACTCCAGAACAACAATTACACGTTGAAGATGTAGAATAACGATGATTTGTGATGAGTGATGCCTCATTATCATATGTCGTTGAATGCCGATGTTGATGATACGCGTGGGTATGGTCGTGTTGATGTAGATTATTATTACACAATAAAGCTGATGTACTACCATTACAACAACTATTATTATTAGTAGTACTGACACAGGACCGATCAATCGCTGTTTGTCTTTGTAGATTTTGTGTCGTTGTTGTTCCTATTGTAGCATTACCAGTGGGCATAGATGTCAGTGGATTCGACGAGTTATCTAAAATTCGTACACGATTTCGTTTATGTCGTGTTATACTACTAGGCTTAGCACTAATACTACTTTCATTTGTCCAATCAGAAATAGCAAGATGATTAGTGAAATTTATTGATGGATTCCTTGATCGATAGTGATGATGATGATTGTCGACACCATCAACATCGGCGTCGGCGTCATCATCATCAATGATTGACAAGTGATCAGTTGTATCTGTACCCATACTATTTGTCCGTCGTTGAGGATTATGCTGCTGCAGCTGCTGGTGGTGATGATGATGATGATGCAGTCGATTCCGACGACGTCTTTTATCACGTTTACTAGTATTACTACTATTATTAGTAGTATCATTTGTTGGTGTCGTTGTAGTCGTGGTGGTACTATTGTTCTTTTTATTCCTAATATTGTTGTTTTTATTACAAGTATGATTGAGTTTAACAGAGGATGAAGAACACGATGCACCATATCCACTTTCACCATCCACTTCATCCGCTGCTTCTTCTCCTTCTGCTCCTTCTTGTTGATGATGACGACCACGGTGATGATGATGGCGTTGGCATTTACCATGATCATCTTCAACATTATTATAACACTCTCCGTCAACATTCATATCTTCATGAACTCGACCTTCACCTTCAATGCCTTCCTCTTCCTCCTCGCCCGCGCCTTCTTCATCTTCGTCATCCTCTTCTTCATCAGCTTCGCCTTCTCCATCGTCATCCTCGTCATCATCATCATCGTCGTTGGGATTCTCTTCATCAGACAGATAACTAGGTGAGAAATGAGATGATGAAGCAGTAGATGTATTCGTTATTGATCTTAACAGACTATGTTGATGGTGTTGTTGATGTTGTTGATGATGGCGTAGAGCAGCGACAACAGCTTGAGCTAAAGGCGGTGCAGGGGAATCAGGTGGGCTAATAATATCACCATCATTATCATCATCATGATTAGTGTTCAACTGGTCGTTGAGATTATTTCCACCATTACAATTATTATTCATCAATAAACTATGGATGATATTCTAAGAAAGAAATTTTTACGGGGAAAAAACAAAAACAAACAATAATCGTAATAATAATAATAATACTAATATCAAGTTAGATACATTTTACAAAATGCTTTAGTATAAGTAACAGAAATATCCTAGATCCATGTTTTACTGAATACAATCATTCGCATTGCATGGCGATTGGTGATGAACTCTGCCTTAAATCTCATTAGGCGTTAAGACCAGCGTTCAAACCAACAACGTATTGGTTGAGCACCTGGAGTGCCTGAATTACTAATCAACCTAAAACTGTCTGTCTGTCTGTCTGTTTTCGACATAGAACTTTGCACATATGTGCGGCTTCTCGGCTCTCTGAGCTAAGATCATGTGTAGTATCTGTTCTTTGCAGTGTAATTTCTGCAACCTAAAACACTTCAATGATAACAACCTAACGCACAACAAATGTGGAGAGTAAAATGGAGATGTATAAGACATACACTGGCGACGCCACTGAGTGGCATTGTGGTGACAGCTGTCTGCAAGACTAAATTGTAGACTACAATTGACGTCAATGTTTACGTCCCAAATCACGGTCATGAGAAAAAAAGACAAAGCTTAACCTTGAGGAACTCACCAACCAATCACAGCAGACTTAACGTGTGCAAATACGACTCACAGATATATGACTTAACTTTCTGAGAAATGGTCACAAGCAGTACAGAATAACCCTTAGCAAGAAAACAACCAATCAGAAAACGTTGCGTCTCCGCTGACAATAATGTGCATAAAAATCTATAAATATCTTTTGATTTTCTCAATAAACGATCTGTTGCCTGGCCTCTGTCTTCTGTCGTTACAATATCACATGCCAGGTAGGCTCTCAAGTGGAACCCGATTAGGAAATGACGAGTCGGTGGTGAAATGAAGGAGATCGTGCAGAGAGGAAATGAAAGCTTGTGTGAACAATCGTGGAGCCAGATAAAAAAAGACAGCAGAGAGCCGAGTGAAGTGGTCACGCGTTGCTGAAACTCTACGTCCCACACGGAACCCAGGGGACGGACAATAATGAGTAATAATAGTGATAATAATCTGTCACCATAAACGATCTGGTCGGACAGACAGTGAGTAGACTTCGGTCTTACTTTCTAAATGTTCTGATGTCACCACACGTGCACAGCCTCTATCAGAGCAAGCTCTATTCATTGTCTTCATGAGACGGAAGCGTTCCTCAAAAGAGCGAAAGGGTGAAGCGCACTTACGTCTGGCGCTTACAACCGAACTGATGGGCATGTAAGTCTATCTAGGGGAGCTAGCTAGAAAACCCTGATTCCAGACCCACAGTGTTGACGGGCTTCAGAGTCCGAAAGAATAGAATAGTGTATAAACCTATAGGAACGTAGCTACTCAACTGTCTGGTGCATCAGACTTCAAGCTAAAGGTTCGGTGATGGGGCTTGGCCCCTTAAGGCAACCGCCTGCTTCAGTCTAGGCATCCAGGGAGTATCCTAACCCTCGCACAAACTACGAGATTTTGTGTGTCATATCCTCCGATGCCCATTATGCACCGACCGAATCCGCGATTTAATAAATAACAATAACAAGATAAGCAAACGATACTACTGATAGTTGGTTGGTTGCCAGAGGTATTCAAATACTAATATCAGCCTTCGTATTCACAATATTTACACAACTTTGTAGTGTCAAGCAGGTCGATTGTAGTGCTTGTCTGAGGATATTTTGATTTTCATCAAAAGGAGTCAAGGTAAATTGTTATCTGAAAGATTGATTATTTTGGAAAAGATACAATTTTATCTGTTGAAAATTATTATTTTCTTTATCTCTTATCATTGAAATGACTGTAAAGAGAATTTCGAAGTTCTCACTCACTGGTGTAGGCGTTCGACTTCCAACCAATGGACCATAAGTTTGAATCCCCCCCACCTTTTCCACCTAACAAGGTTTGGACAGCCAGGTAATATATCACTAGCCTTCGTACGCACATTAAGTGTGGCTTATTGCTAACTGCGCATAGAATTGCAAGTGGTTGTTCGGTAATATTTCAGTCATTTTTATGCAACATTATTATTACTATTTTATTATTTAAAACACAAAACCTGGTACAACATGGCGCCACACAATAATAATAAAACGATATATGAAAAAAATAAGGTAAAGAACTAATACAGGATTTTATCTGGGAAGAAAGCAGTTATATTTGACAAGACCAAACAGCATTCGTCGAACAATCATCAGAAGGGGAAGGAAACTGCAGCACGTTCGCCATTGATGAATGCGATTCTCGGTCATATCCGATAATGTTTCGAGCCGGCGATTCGAGCTATCTCTCGGACCCCAACCAACCAGGGAGTCGTGACGCACCAACCAGTGCTAACCTACCACAAATCTCCTTGATTCCACAACGTCACATCATGGGCTGACTGACCACCTCTCCACTTTTTCCATCCCATACCAGGGTTGGCTAGCGAATGGAGGTTGGTGCGGAAGCCTCTGGGATAACATTCGCAGCACATATCCAAGCCACTGAAGTCGGTGTTTCTAGATGACAACACTCAACGAATGGTGATCTCCACTGTGTCCAAACACACACCGCCGGACCTCAGAATTACTCACACGATGACACCATAGAACGTAAGCAATTCTACGGAGACAGCGATGATCGAATACGCAAAGTCGCCGCACATCCTCAGCTCAGAGAGGCGTCAAGCACGACAGTGAGTACCAAAGCATTGTAAATCTGGCCTTTGACAGCCAGGCTAACGTCGCGATAGCGCCAAGATTTTCAAATTTCAACAATACTTCTCTTAATGTAGCGCATAATTGTACTTATATAAGAAGGCAGTCTATTGAATCCTTGTTGGTGGCTCAGTGGCAGAATGCCCGCCAACTACGCCTCAACATGGTCCGGGGTTCGACTCCCGGCCGATTCACTTCTAAACCTTGCTTAGCCGACACTAAACCAGGTGGAGAGGGGAGGCTGGGTGTGGGGATAGCAACCCTATCCAGTAAAAAAGTTACTGCTGCTATTGAAACTTTAAAGTTCTCAAGCTTGAAGCCCTAATGTTTTAATCGGAGTGCAAAGAAATGAAGCGAAAAAAACTATTGAATTATTAAAAGGAAGACGAATAAATCTGGTTAGATAAGAGAAAACTTACATTATTCATAGCATTGATAGCATCAACTGACGGTGGGGGACTACGAGATTGACTTCCACGCTTATCCAGGAATTCCATATGTGAATGTCTACGCCTTGTGCCTAGTACAACACTTGCAGATGGTGTATAGCTTATCGAAGATGGTGGTGAAGAGAAACTAACCGGTTTACACTTGGAATAGACAACTTTATTGACGTTATGCGTAATTGTCTCACTTGAACAGGCTGTATTCGATTCACATGAAGAAATCTCACAGACTGTCTGTTGAAATCCACTAGAACTAGAGAATTTTAAATGATGATTATTTGTTGTAGGTGGTCTGGGGCCAGCTGAACTAGATGGTCGTAGAACTAGACAGGGTTTAACAGCAGTACGATAATGAGTTGGATCTGATTCTTGATCACAAATTGCATTCAATGGTCTTGAAACACAACCGGTACTGTGACTTCGACCTCGACCAGAAGGAGACTGATCAGATCTGTTGTGAATAAAGTGATAGAAAATGCATTAGTTAGCTAAATATGCATCACTATTACTGGATTAATAAAAATCTTTTAAATTTGAATAAGCAAACACCAGAATGAAGGACATGGATTATGAATCT